GAGCTTGCTGATGAGGACGCCCACGACGTCCGCCCCCGTTCCCCTTCCCCTGCCCCTCCTTCCCCTCCCCTTGTCACCGACCTGCGTGGGCTGACTCCGACGCCGGTCTTCGGCGATGGAGGGAGAAGTGGGGCGTCACCTGTGGCGCCGGTCAAGAGCATCGCCGGTGGCCGACGTGACGTCGAGCTGGTCGGCGTGGGAGTGAAGTCGACGTCACCAGGGGAGCGGCAGGAAGAGGAGGTGCTGCCGACTCTAGTGGAGCCCGCGAAAGGAGGCGTCAGCAGGTAAGCCGCCATCAGGGGAGCAGCTAGCAGTGAAGCCGTCCATGGAGCAGTCGGCGACCGTGCAGTCGGCAGGAGAGCCGACGACAGGGGAGAAGTCGCCGACTAAGGTGCAGCAGGACATCGAGGGCAACAATGCCAAGGACGCTGAAGGGGAGCAGTCGGGCGCCGAGGAGTCCACCGACAGCGACGTGGTGGAGGTCCAAGCTGAACCACGGCGTACAGGCCGAGTCCGGCGGCCGCCTGACTTCCTGTCCCACCATGAGTGCCTGCCGCGGGCTGCCTACACCACGGTGTACGACGAGGTCGATGATGACCTGTTGTATGACGACGTCGACCTGGAGGAGCTCGATCCCGACATGCACGTCGACCCCGAGCACCGCTGGGACATCTCCACGATGACGGTGAAGGAGGCGTTGGCGAGCTGGAAGGGCAAGGCGGTGAAAGCCGCCATGGACGAGGGGACCCGCAGCCTCATCGGCATGGGAACCTAGGAGCTGGTCGAACGCCCACCCAGGGTGAACATCAAGAAGAACCGGTGGGTGCTGACGACGAAGTACCGCATCAAGGACACCGTCGAGCGCGAGAAGGCGAGGCTGGTCGTGAAGGGCTTCACGCATGTGTACGGGACGTACGCACAGGTGAGCAGCTACGTCACGCTGAGGATGTTCCTCAGCATCGTCGCCGTCCTCGACCTCAACCTGATGCAGCTCGACATGAAGAACGCCTTCCTGCAGAGCAAGCTCGACATGGTGCTGTACATGTACCAGCCAGACTACTTCAACGATGGGACCGGCCGGGTGTGCAAGCTGCTGAAGAGCCTGTACGGGCTGAAGCAGTCGCCGCTTTTGTGGTACAAAGCGCTCAAGGACGTGCTGATTGGCGCCGGGTGGAAGAAGAGCCAGGTCGACGAGGCTCTGTACTTCAAGGTCGGCGGGTGGGTGCTGGTCTATGTCGACGACCTGCTCGCCGCAAGCAGCAGCACCGCGATGCTAAAGGAGCTGCTGGAGGCCGCCTTCGAGCTGCGCGAGATCACACCGGTGGAGATGAACCTCCAGCTGGAGATCGTGCATGACAGGCCGGCGAGAAAGCTGTGGCTGCACTAGTAGGGCTACCACGATAAGCTGCGCAGGCGGTTCATTAGCGAGGAGCAGACCGGGCGCACCCCGAAGACACCGGTTTCCGTCGACGCCTACGGCGAGCTTACATTCGACGACGAGGAGGCTCAGGAGCACCACGAAGAGGAGTACCGGCAGAAGGTCGGCTCGCTGCAGTTCGCGGCGACGACGACGAGGCCGGACATCGCCTTCGCCTGCAGCAAGCTGGGGAGCGGTCTCACGGTGAGGAGACCAGTACTAGCGCGAGGTCGAGCACGGGCGGCTACGTGTTCGTCTACGGAGGTGCCGCGGTATCCTGGTCGACCCAGCGTATCAAGTGCGCGACGCTGTCGTCGACCGAGTCGGAGTACGTGGCGGCCACCGAGGGCGGCAAGGAGGGAGGCCGCCTTCGCTTTCTCCTTGCGGAGTTTGGGCAGCTGGATGGCGGGACGCCGACTGTCCTTCGGATGGACAACAAGTCGGCCATCACGGTCGCCGAGGGCATGGGGTTGACAAGTAACCTCAAGCACATGGACCGGTGACAAGCCTGGCTGCAGCACATGGTGACACGCCCAGGTGAAGCCCCCAGCGAGCCTTCGGCGCAAGCTTCCCACAGCGCTGCTGCTCGGGAACCATGAACTGCACCATGCAGCCCCACACCCGTGCTAGGGTGAGGTCGGGCTTCGTCCCCGGCGGCGTCGTCGACCGCTCCAAGCAGTTGCGCACCCAGACGGCCTGTTGCAGGGCAAGGTGCCACCAGTGGTGCTGCACACCCATGTGCAGCAGCATCGTCCGCACGGACTCGACGACCGTGCGCATCTCCCGCTCGGCCATGCCGTTCTGCTGCGGAGTGTAAGGGCATGTCAGGTTGTCGACGTTGCCCTTCCCGTTGACGAAGTTGGTGAACTCCTTCCCGAGGAACTCTCCTCCTCGGTCTGGCGGAGCATCAGCACCGACTTCTTTGTCTACCGCTCTACCAGCACCAGCCACTGCTGAAATTCCCGCAGCACATCGCTTTTCTTAGCCACCGGCGTCGCCCATAGGAACCGAGTGTGGCGATTTTTCAGCAGCAGGAAGTATAGGCAGCCATCCTTGGCAGCCACTCGAAATGGCCCGCAAAAGTCAATGTGCACGACAGCCAGTGCCTCCTCGGCGTCCGAGCCCTTGTCGGGGAAGGTGTGCCATGCCAGCTTTTCTCCGACGCACGAGACACACGGCGGGTCCGCTCCGGTCGACGGCTTGATGTCGAACCCAGTAGCAACTTCATGCTTCGCCAAGCACTTGATCGTGTCGACGCCGACGTGCGCGAGCCTCGCGTGCCACCGGTCGGGGGTCGACTTCGTCGCTGAGACGATCGTCCGCAGAGCCACCACCTCGGTCGACGGCGACCGCGTCGAGGAGGGGTGAAGGTCAGTGCAGAGGACCCGTCCGGTGCAGCGTGCTCGACCGAGCACTTCCTCGGTCGCGGCGACGAGCAGCATCTCGTCGCCGCTGCCCTGCAGCTGCACTCCGCTCTCCTTCAGTTGGCCAGCAGACAGCAGGTTCGCCTGTACTCCCGAAACGTAGAGGGACCTGCTTCCCGGCCTCCCCTTGGAGAGCGACGGTTCCGCGACCCTCGACCGGCTGCAATGCCCCATTGCCTCCACGCGCGTGTTTCACACTGCCGCTCGGCGCCATGTCAATGAAGACCGCCTTCGTCCCCATCAGGTGGTGGGAGCAACCGCTGTCGAGGAGCACCGCCATCAGGGTTGCCTGCACTGCTGCCGCCACCGCCTAAAAGTTCTCGCCAGCCTCCGGCGCCAGCGAGAATGTCGGCTCCACCACGCCGACCATCGAGCACGACGCCTCTCCGTCGCCTCGGCCCTTGCCGCTAGAGTTGTCGACGTCCTTCGTCGACGCATCTTTTTCGACGTCTGCTTCTCCTTGCGCGGCTCCTCATCTCGACGGGGGCGATGACTAGTCGACCGACCGCGTCCTCCCTTGTTGTCGTCCTCGTCGCTGTCGTCGCGGTCGGGGCTTTCGTAGGAGAGATGGTCGGGGTCGTGGCAGATCCAGCACTCCCGCTGTCGACCACCACCTCCACGGCCCTTGTCCCACGTCGACCTCTTCTCGTCGAAGCCGTAGATGGACCTTTTCAGCTTGCACACCCTGCCCGTACCATCCTCGTACCCAGGCGGCTGCGTCATGTACACATCCTCCTCAAAAATCCCATTGAGAAATGTCGTTTCTATATCCATCTGAATGATGAATTTCCCACTAACGGCTGCATCTGCCAACAAGACACGGAGGGTAGGGGGTTTGGCAGTGGGAGCAAAGATCTCATTGAAGTCCTGCTTCTCCTTCTGCATAAACCCCTTAGCCACCAGCCTGCTCTTGTAGATGGTGACCTGTCCCTTGTCATCAGTCTTGATCCTTAGCACTCACTTGCACTGTACGGCTTTCTTCCCCTCAGACAGCACCACCAGATCCCATGTCCCATTCTCTAGCAGGCTCTGGTACTCAGCATCCCTAGAAACCAGCCACTTCTCCCTATCTGGTCCAGCTAATGCCTCCTCCATGCTAGCTGGTTCCTCTGGTGCAGGGGCAAGAAAACAGTAGGCAGGTTCATCCTCCCCATCCAGGTCATAGCCATGCGGTAGAATCAGCAATGCCTCCTCATTCCCAAGCTGCTGCTCTGCTACATCAGCCCCTGCAGTCAGCTTCTTAGTAGCCATACGGGTACGTCCTGGCCTCGAGACGGGTGTCTCCCATCCCCTCATAACAACACCATTCAGCTTCTTAGTTTTCCCCTGTTGCTGCTCTCCTATCGGATCCAGCAGCTCCACTAGTGCTACCGCTAGTCTCCACACCATTGTTTTCACCAGCAGGTGCCTCCTGCACCTTCTCTCCATCACCACCCTCTACAGCTGCCTCCTCTCACTCCTCCCATACACTAGGAGTCAGGTCCAGCTGCATGCTGATCTGCTCCATCTGCTGGGACACCCTGGCCTCCGGCTGTTTCTCCCAGCTCCCATACATCATGCCCTCAACAAACTTCACATCCCTGCTATCAAACAACACACCCTTAGATGGTTCCCACAGCAGCCATCTCTTGCTCTCAGCAGCCAGCCCCAAATGCACACACCAGATTGCACTCGCCCCCAACTTACTACGGTAGGTCTTGGGGACGTGGGCGACTGCCATGCAACCGAACACCCTCATCATGTCCACTGGCGGCTTCCTCCCAAGCCACCTCTCCAACGGCACCCACGAGTCATCCCCAACCTTGGTGAGCACCCTGTTCCTAGCGACGGTAGCGTGCCAAACAGCAAGGGGCCACATCAAGTTGCCCAGCCCAGATTCTATGAGCTGCGCCCAAGCTGTCTCCAGAATTGTCCGGTTCGCCCGTTCTGCTACACTGTTGGACTGTGGGGTGTAAGCCGTGGTCAGCTCCCTCTGGATGCCCTGCTTCTTGAGACAGGCCGTCATCTCAGCTCCAAGGAACTCACCACCCCGGTCTGTCCTAATCCGCTTCACCACACACTCCGCTTGCTTCTCCACGAGCGGCAGCCAATCATCTCGCACCGTGGAGGCCGCGTGATCCTTCTGTTTCAGCAGATACGCCCACATGAGTCTGTTCCAATCATCCACAATAGTTAGGATACGCCTTGGCGAGGGCGTCGCGGCGCAAGCAGGCGGTGCGGTCGTCCGCTGGGCTGCGAATGACCTCAGAACCCACCCGTCTGGTCACGACTGTAATGCACTCTCGCATCGCCTCCTTGTTCACTCTGAGGGGAGGGATAGGGGGTCGCAGGGGAGGAGAGGTGGGGTGGGGGAGCTTGGGTTTAAGTGGCGTGGTAGGCCCACCCACCCACTCACTGTTGCCCACCATCAGCAACTCGATCACTGCGTGCGTGTCCAGGCTGATTCAAACAGAAGGTATAGCGGGAATGGAGCAATGGGGCGAATAGAGCAAGCACAGCAGCATGAGGAATTCAGTGCAGATCCGAACACATCCCGGCGGTCCACAACACACCTGGGCAGCTAGGAACACACCCGAGGAGTCACAAAAAACGACACCTGAGCGGCTGAGAACACACCTGAGCAGGTCAGCAGCGGCACCCAGGTGCGCCTCTGCATGAGGAACTTCCAACACCAGGTCCGAGTCCCTCTGCTCAAACGTGAAGTTGCCTATATGGAGGATGGCCGCCAGTATCTTCAGAATTGAGTCCTGATAAACGAGCAGTTTTGAGGGGGTTGGAGTGGGGTGGGGGGGCGAGGCGAGGAGGGGAAAGAGAGGCGAGAGGGGGGGTTGAGAAAAGGATTGAAACGAGAGCACAATAGGAGCAGCTCGTTCTATTTCTTTGCAGCTTTGCAACACATACATGTTACATCTCATGCCGTTTTTGGCCTCCCCATTATGCCTCAAAACCCCAGCTCTTGCACAACGTACTCCTCCATCAGCCCAATTGCTGACTACAATACAACCACTTGACCATCCAAGTTCTGCCAAATTGACCCCTGGCCTGCTGCTGCCCTCACACCGACCCACCTACTGCTGCGCGGTGATGCCGACGGCACTCATGGCTGTCATAGTGGCACACAGATGCTCGCACACAAGCACCATAAACACCCCCTCCCTCCTCCCACCTCGTTCCCCCTTACTGCCCTCACAAGTATCCACCTGCTGCTGCATTGTGATGCCAACAGCACGCATGGCTGTCATGGTGGCGGCAAACTTGTCGGCATCAGAGGCGCAGCCAGGCAGGTGGAAGCGGCCCAGCCAACAGCATCTGGTTTAACCTAACAGCGTCCCCACTGCCCCCCCTCTCATACATACTTTCACCCACCCACCTGCTGCTGTGTGGTGATGCCAACGGCGCGCATGGCGGCCATGGTGGCGGCAAACTCGTCGGCATCAGAGGCCCGGCCGGGCAGGTGAAAGCAGGAGCTCTGGTTGAGGTAGTGGAAGTGGTGGGCTCGCGTGCTGGGGTCCGGGGGCAGCTGTAGTGCCGATGCTTCCTGCATGGTGGGAAGGTGAAGGAAGAGTTGAAGGATGCGGTTGGATAAAAGGGGTAATAGGGGGCATGAGTAGACAGGCAGGTGGGGTGGAGTGGTGGAAGCAGGAGCTCTGGTTGAGGTAGTGGAAGTGGTGTGCTCGCGTGCTGGGAATTGGGGGCAGCTGCAGCAATGCAGTTTCCTGAATGGTGGGATGTGCTGGGAGTGGAGGGATCTTGTGAGGCACTTCGAAAAAAAATCGTTCGTTGCTGCAGCTGCAGCTGACTTGTTTCGTGCATGATGGTGTGTCACATGGGTTCACATGGCTCACCTCAAAGAGCCCCTGGCACACGGCCTCATGCTGGCATCACACTCATTGGACAGCCAACCCCTGGCAGGCACCTGGCTTCACACGACTCACGTCAATGGAGAGCCCCTGGCACATCTGGTAGAAGATGTGGTAGTTGCGCTCGCAGTCAGCGATGTGCACCACGCGTGACCGCTCCAGCAGGTATGTGCGCACCGCTGCCTCCGTCAGCCCACCCCTGCGCCCAAACTGCAGCTCGATGAACTTGCCAAAGCGGCTGATGTGGTGGGCAGTGGACACACAGTGGGGAATGGTAAGGGGAGAACGGGAGTTTTCAGCAAAATTCAACCCCTGCGCGCACCCCACACGCTGCTCCCGTCAGCCCGCCCCTGACCCCGAACTGCAGCTCTATTAACTTGCCAAAGCGGCTGTGGTGGTGGGTAGGTGGCACATAATGGAAATGGTAAGGGGAGTTGAAGCACGATTCACCCCCAGCCAACCCCTCCCTCCCGTCAGCCCACCCCTGCGCCCAAACTGCAGCTCTATGAACTTGCCAAAGCGGCTGCCAGTGGTGGGCAGTGGGCACACAGCGGGGAATGGTAAGGGGAGAAGGGGAGTTTTCAGCAAGTACCACCCCCTGAGCGCACCCCTCCCTGCTGCTCCCGTCAGCCCGCCCCTGCGCCCAAACTGCAGCTCGATGAACTTGCCAAAGCGGCTGCGGTGGTGGGTAGGAGGCACACAGAAGCAATCACCAATGGAAAGGGGAGGCGGGACGTGTGACAAAGTAAGTGATTGCTATGGTGGCATGCCTTGAGCAAAACGGATATGAGAGGTGACAACACAGTAGTATGGCACCTTGAGTTGTCGTTCCGAAGAGTCTTGGCATTTCCAAATGCCTCCAGAAGTGGATTCGCCTGCACACATCAGAGGGAGTGAGGCAGGATTACATAAACAGGAGTCATGGGGTGAACACGAGGAGCATCCGAACGAACCAAGGGATATGAGTGGTCATTCTTACAACGCCCTGTATCTCCCTGTAAAACACGCCTCCACGATTTACCTATAACAGCAACGAAAACCCTTGCCTGAAGGCAAGTAGACCTACCTGGAGGACAAGCGACTCTATGGACGGCGAAGCAGACGGCGAGCCAGGTGGGTGGATGAGCAGGGAGGAGGAGGTAGTGGGGAGCACGGCGGTGGGGGAGGGCAGGGAGGCAGGGTCGCTGTGAGCAGCAGCACGGGCGAGGTACTCTATGATTAGCTTCGTGGTCTCTGTCTTGCCGGCTCCACTCTCCCCACTTATCAGAATGGCCTGGCTGCGACTCCCCTCCCTCATGGCCCTGCACACACGGGCAGTGGATGGGGACAGTGGTGGGGGAGGGGAGGGAAGGGAGGCGGGGTGGGTGGGTGTGAGCAGCAGCGCGGGCGAGGTACTCTATGATGAGCTTCGTGGTCTCTGTCTTGCCGGCTCCACTCTCCCCACTTATTAAAATGGCCTGGCTGCGACCCCCCTCCCTCATGGCCCTGTGTGTGAGCACGGGCAGTGGGGAGGATAGTGGTGGGGGGAAAGGGCAGGGAGGCGGGGTGAGTGAGAGCAGAGCAGCAGCGCTGTCTTGCCGGTGTGGCACCGCTCTCCCCGCTTATCAGAATGGCCTGGCAGACACACAGCATCTATGAAACGCGACTCTGCCTGCGTGTTTGGCACAGTATCACACTAGATGATCATTGCTCCCTGCGTAACGCCAAACGCTGTGCAGCCTGAATTCCTTGATCCAACAGCCGTAAGCTTATCCACGAATAAGGATCCCGCGACAAGCACGCTCTATGCGCTCCAGAAGGCGTTCTCTGCCGTGGCGAGGACGTGGGGCGAGAGCAGGCCGAGCGGCACGCAGTGGTACTGGCCCATCATTGCCGCGTCGTACAGCCCGGGTATGCGCACAAAGGGGTTCAGCGCTATCAGGATCGACCCCGTGTAGGTCTGGCAGTAAGGAGGAAATGGGAATGGAGGCAGGAGAGGGGGAGGTAGAGGGTGGAGGGTGGGAGAAGGGAGGGGAAGAGAGAGCAAGGGAGTTAAAACAGGGAGGGGGGGAGAGGGGTTACTGGGAGATGGTGTAAGAAAGAAAGGGGGATTACTTGGACGCAATAGGGGTATTACTGCACGTAAGGCTGGCAGGCAGCCCGCAATGAACATGGTAGCATCTATGTGATCAGTATGCAGCTCGCAATTTGGAGGCGAGGCAACTGCGTTAGCTGGTGTCCTTAACATGTGTGACTGAAGTCAAGGAGCAAAAAAGAGCTGGAATTCAATAAACATCGGGCGCTGAAACCGGGGAAAACAGCACCCCGAGGCAAGGAGCCATGGGGGAACATGGGTGTGCAGTACGGTGCAAGTGAGAGAGAGGACGCACATGGATGAGGAGATGATGAGTAAAATGGGCAGCAGTGGGTGTGTGGAAAAGTGCATAAGTGAGAGTGAGGATCACACAATAAGATGGGTTATACGGTCAGCAGTGGGTACGGAGCAGCGCGCAAGTGAGAAAGACCACACACACACGTAGACGAGGTTGGAGATGAGGAAAAGGGCCAGCAGTGGGTGTTCAGCAGCGCATGAATGAATGTGAGGGTGAGAGCACGCACGTAGATGAGGTTGGCGCGGTAGCGGCGGCAGAGGTTGGAGAGCACGCCAGGCTCGTGCAGGCACGTGAGGCGAACCATGTCGTCCAGCAGTTGGCCCTCTGGCTCGCGCATGCAGCACAGCGACGCGTGCACTTCCCATAGCTGCACGGGGAGAGGGGGAGCAGAGCAGGACGATGGGAATGAGAACGGAAGTAAGGCGTGAGCCGCATGTGACGGATATGGGGGACGAATTTGCCGCGGATGATTGCACGAAAACGATGAGACGATGGTAATGGAAGCAGGATGATGGGAAAGGAGACGGTAAGGGGGACTATCGGGAGAAGAAGCGACAGCACTGTGGGAACGAGAATCGACGGACGAACGAAACCATTGCTCTGATTGCATGCCGTAGAGGTTCATAAGGACGTCGTCAATCCACTACGGATCATTTCAAGAAGCATACATTCATATTGAATATTCTAACGAAGAGTGCTCGCGTAACGCGTCCGGATACCAATCAGTGATTCTGTCCTCGCGCGACGCATTACTGACGCGGAAAAAAAGAGTAACTTCCGCGCAACAGGCGTAACAGTCGGCTTACGTCCGGCTTGGCGGGGTTATCGATCTTCACGGCCAGTTTGCCTTCCCCCAGGTCCTCCACCACGCACCCCTCCTCCCACGCGACCTCAGGGTCAGGCACCCACACGTGCGCACCCACGTGAAAGGTCTGCATCGCCTCGCCTGCCATGGCACGCGAGTGTGCAGACTATGGTTGCTATGCTTGGAATGCGTACAGCTCCATTGGAGCTGGAAGAAGAATCTGCAGTGATACAATGATTTTGTGAAAGCCTCGATGAAGCCTCGGTGATACCACTCGTCAGAGCAAAGCGGTGGAGGTGCTACAGGGAATTCCCAAGAAAAGTTCCGCTGCAGACGAGTTCAATTGAGGTGTACGAAGATTGCATTCCACAATCCAGGCAAAACAATACACTTAGAGGAGGCATGAGAGAAGTGTTAAATAGGGAAGGCATTTCGGCAACCGTAACGCGCTCGCGATAAGGGTACCCCACGGGCCTGATTTCGAGGTTGGGAAATGTCGAAGCGTAGGGCCAGGTCGCGGGTTGTGGGCCGGTGTTAGAAATTATACATTACATATAAGTATATAACTTCTACTTGCCTTTGCATGTTTGTACTCCCGCTTCTATTGGTGAAACCCCCCCTTTGTTTAGCCAAACCCTCTCGCTCACACTACTCTCGCTATGGCGCCTTGTCATAACCTAATCTCTTCCTAGCCATACTTCTTGACATGGTATCAGAGCAGCTAAGCTCCTATACCAATTTTTTCATGGGCCTACCGCATATAGCTTCCGTCATGGCGCAAGTCGCAGCCCCTGCCGTGCCCGTCGCGGCGTTCGTCACGGCACTCAGCGTGACGTCCGCGGCGGACGCGATGGTGAGCCCCGTTTGTCGCTCTCCTGCTCGACGTCCCACTGCTACCGCGCTAGCGAAGGCGAGTTGCGCGGGGGCGCTCATCGGCCCCCCCCGTTACGCCCATCCGTCCCGTTCGTCGCAGTCCACCTGCGATCCCGCCAGTGCCAGCAGCATGTGCGGTCACTGTGAGGGGGAGGAAGGGGGTCAGGGGGTGGCAGGACGACGGCGGCAACCGTCCGCGCCAGCGCCAACGGAGTTCGTTGGTGCCCGCGCCAGCGCCATCCCGCTCCTCGCCCTTCTCTCTGTTGCGCCCTACTACGGCGTACGCTTGGGTGGGGGGGTGGCTGGATTGGCAGCCAATGCTGCGGGGGTGTTGAAGCCCCCTTGAACCCCCCCTAGTCCTCCTCCGCATCGCAGCAACTGCAACGGCTGTGCGTGCCGCGTTGGGGGTGGGGGGAGAGAGGGTGTGGGGATGGCGGGTACGTCAAGGCAGCCAACCCTCATCCTCTCTCTTCCGCTGCACCTCTTCTCGCTCTTCGGCCTCCTCTCATCTCCTACTCGTAATCCACTCTTCTTTCGTTCTTTCGTTCTTTTGTTCCCTCGTTCTCTCGTTCTCTCGTTCTTTCGTGCAACTGCTACTGGCTATCCCCCAGAGGTGCTGAGCCGTGCTGTCCTGCTGCTCGTTGCAGCCACAGCGCCTGCTCTCTCCCCCACTTGTCGTCGCCTGCACCCGCCGCAACTGCATCCGCCCTTGGTGTATCCTTTAAGGGGGTGTCTCTGCACATGGTTTCAACTGCATGCAGTTAGGGGGTGTGTTAGAATTTATACATTTCATGCAACTGCCTGTTAGTGTAGCTACTGTGTAGTGTTACAACTTCTGCTTGCCTTTGCCTATTTTTACTCCCGCTTCTCTTAGTGAAATCCCTCTTTGTTTGGCCAAACCCTCTCGCTCACGCTACTCTCGCTATGGCTCTTTGTCCTAACCTAATCTCAACAGCCAGGAACAGTGTCGAGGCGAGAGCCGCGAGGTGGTAATGGTCTATTGTTGGGTGTATAGTGCCGGGTCCTGTACGCGGTATGACGTATGACGCGAAGTACGGAAGAGTTGTGTTTTTACACTTCTTCTTTCTCCGATGGAGGCCCCTATAAAAGTGTGTGTATGTCACGGAAATTTCTGCAACATAGATACTCAGTGAGGACGAGGAGGCTTTTGATTTTGTCCAGGGGGACCCAGCTGTCTTCGGTTGGCGTGCTGTCTCTCCAGCGAATCAGGGATTCGATGCGTCATGCCCCACATGGTTCGCGTACTTGATGACTCATTATTTTTCCTGGTGCGATGATTGGTTCGGTTGGCGGTCATGCCATGCTGGACGGGCGGCTGCGTGGCAGTTGACTTGTTGATGGGACGTAGGGGAGGAGTAGGCTAGCGTGGAAGGACGGGCTGACGTACCAGTCAGCAGGCAGGAACAGGTGGGCGGTTACGGGGGTGATCATGTGACTGGTGAGAAATGGCCCACAATACCTCGTGCGTGATTTTGGGTTGATGGGCAGGCGGAGGTTCTGAGTGTCGAGTAGAACCATGTCGTCGGGCTGGTAAGTGACGGGGCGACGGTGGCGGTCGGCGTTGCGCTTATCGATGATGTTTGACCCTTTTACTGCGTCTGCTGCTCGGGTCCGAGGTGCTTGCAAAATTTCGGCGAACTGTTATGCACGTGGGACGGGTTTGTCAGGATTCGGCGTCACGGTTACTGTCGGGTTTTGTCCGTAGTTGAGGTAGAATGGCGATTGTTGGGTGGTGGCGGACGTAGATTTCAGGCATGCGAACTCGATGAGTGGCAACTGCTGCTCCCATGTTGCTGGGTCGTCGCACGTAGCTCGAATTAATTGCTCCATGGTCTGATTTTTGCGCTCGGTTTAAGGGTGGTACGAAGAACTGAACTGTAGTCGCGTGCCAAAATTGCTGCCACAGGTTCCTCCAGAATTTGCGTGTAAACTTCGTGTCACAGTCGGCTGCTGATCGCTGCTGGTATCCCGTGTAGGCGAACGACGGTGGCAATGAATAGGTGAGCTGTCTCTTTGGTTGAGATTTTTGTCAAAACATATACTTCTAGTTATTTCTCTCTAGGTTGTGTAGGGGTCATTCCTTAGAGGGTACAACCCAATTCTCTCGATTGTCTTGTACCCCCTCCCCTTACCTAATCGACATACCTTCCTATTATTCTCAACATGGTATTAAGAGCTAGGACCTTCCTAGCCTAGGACAAATTTTTTTCAAAGGGCCCACCGTTAAAACCTTCCGTGTTCCTGCCCGAATCGCACCCTAGGCGCGTCTCTTATTTTTCTGCCTGAAATGCGCCCTTAGGTGCGTCGATTTTCGCTGCCCCGCGGCCCTGCCCTGTCCTGTCGTGCGTAGCCCACGAGCAGCCCGTACAGCCCGCGTCAGGCCCGCGCGCGGCCCGTATAGTCCGTGATAGGCCTTCGCGCCGCCCGTACAGCCCGCGCCAGGCCCGCGCGCGGCCCGTACAGCCTGCGTCAGGCCCGCGCGTGGCCCGTACAGTCCGCGCTAGGCCTTCGCGCAGCCCGTACAGCCCACGTCAGGCCCGCGCGCGGCCAGTACAGCCCACACCAGGCCTGCACGCTGCACTGCGCCTGTGCTGCTGCTCTACCCCTGCTGCTACTTGCTGCAGCTGCTCCTACTTGCTGCCGCTGCTGCTACTTGCTGCAGCTGCTCCTACTTGCTGCCGCTGCTGCTACTTGCTGCAGCTGCTCCTACTTGCTGCCGCTGCTGCTACTTGCTGCAGCTGCTCCTACTTGCTGCCGCTGCTGCTACTTGCTGCAGCTGCTCCTACTTGCTGCAACTGCTCCTTCTTGCTCACCACTGAGCACGAGCCGTGCCGCCCATTCATAACCGTGCCGCCCAGCCCGAACTCCAACTACTGCTGCTACAGCTAGTGCTACTGTTGCTACTGCTACTACTGCTACTACAGCTAGTGCTACTGTTGCTACTGCAACTACTGCTGCTACAGCTAGTGCTAACCTGCTGCTGCTGCTCGAGCTACTGCTACTGCTACTGCCACTGCTACTGCCGCCATGGCTAGCCCTAGTGTTCTTACCTTCGATGCTGAGGGTCGAGCGGTCGATTTCGAGGTCTGGGTCGATGACCTCCAGCTCTTTCTGCAGTGCGACTCTAGGGACGGAGTTTCACTGTTCGATCACACGTCTGGCACGCTGTTGCACCTGCTGCCGATGCTGACAGTGCCGTTCGCTCGCAGTGGACTACGCGCGATGCTGCTGCGCGCCTTGCTGTTCGTAGTCACCTGCCGTCTGCTGAGCGCGCGCACTTTAGCCAGTACAAGACTGCTCAGACTCTGTACGACGCTGTTGTTGCGCGCTACTCCTCCCCTGCCACTGCCGCCAAGGCGTGGGGTAGCGCGGTAACCGCAGTCGGTCACTAGCGAATGGTGGGCCCTAAAAAAAATGGTCCTAAGAACCTACTGCTCTGAAACCATGTCAGAAACTAACGAGCAGGAATGATCGCATTGAGAAAGAATGTGATACAAGTACTAACCCTAATTTGGGTTGTACCCCATATGGGTTACCTCACTACAGCCTACACAGTAATATAATTGTTTGACAAGTGCGTTACTTACTTTTCTGGATGGTACCAAGAGTAACTCCGTTACTTACTCATATCGTTGGTACCAAGAGTAACTGCGTTATTTACCCATATGGGAGAAACTAAGAATAAGTGCGCTACTTGTCAACGGGAGTTGTGCCAGCCCCGTCCTTGCTTGGGCGGAGCTGATCTCGTGGTCTGGTGTGCGGAGGAAGCAACCGGCCTGCAATAGTGGGCGAGGCTGGTCGACCTGCACGGGGGCCACTACAGGGGCGTCTGCTTCTGGGCGCCGAGTTGGGGTGGTTGACTTGGCGAGGTCGACCTGGTAGGGCGCCGACTTCAGGGCGTCGACCTTGGATGGCCGACGACTTGGCGGCGGCACAGTTTCAAAATGGTCGACGGGAGGACGCCGACCTTGCGGCGTCGACCTGGTTGCCCGGTCGTTCGTGTTACTCGGGCGACGGAGCTTCTATGGAGGTATGTAATGGTCACCGGAGTGGTTGCTGCGAGGCCGACCTCGGAAGTGGTATCTCGAGGTCTTTGGGGTTAAGGGTTTAAGGTTTAGGGACGTGGCTGGTGGGCGCAGTCATTGGCGTGTACTCTACCAGGCGTCTGCGCTGTGCACGTGACAAGGCATGGTGCACCAACTGGCTGCGTGCACATGCGAAACAGGTGCACCATTTTCGTGCGAGTGCAACGTTGTGCAGCTGACTCGCTGCAGTGTTGGCGGACTGTGAACTTGCAACGTAGGCAGGCCGCTTCTCTGCTGCGCTGGAACGGCGCGCGCTCTGCATCCCTTGCTAGCTCTGATGTAGTCTTGCTTGCCATTGTTGTTGCTGTCAACGAGAGTTGTTGTTGGCCTCGTCCTCACTTGGGCGGAGCCGACTTTGTAGTCGGGTGAACGAGGAGTGCAGCCAAGCAGTTGCAGTGGGTGATGCCGAGTTTGGCGTGCAGGTCCACGAGTTGGCCGACCTGCACACGGCCACTGCGGACGCCGCCGATGACGGGGAGCCGGCAGCCGACCTGACTTGGTGGTCGACCAAGGGGGGCGCCGACATCGACCTAGACAAGGGAGCTGGGCGCCGAGCAAGAGGGCGCCGAGCGAGTGGGTTGACCAGGGAGGACGGCGGGCATTGACCAGATGGCGCTGGGTTTGGGGATGCCGGTCTCGCGTGGCCGGCGACCGACAGGGTTGGCCGACCAGGCATGGTTGCCCGGTCGACCGAGTTACCCGGGCGATGTGTGTGAAGGTCGCCGGGGTGGTTGCTGCGAGGCCGACCTCTGAAGTGGTATCCCATTATCGACGTGGCTGGTAGGCGCAGTCGTTGGCGTGGATTCTGCCAGGCGTCTGCGCTGTGCACGTGACAAGGCGAGGTGCACTAACCGGCCGCGCGCACTTCCGAAGCGGGTGCACCGTTGTCATGCGGGCGCAACGCTATGCAGCCGACTTGCTGCAGCGTTGGCACACCGTGGACTTGCAACGTTGGCGAGCCGCTACTCTGCAACTCTGGAGTAGTGCGAGCTCTGCAGTGCTGGATCTCGGTCGACCATGCTGCGCTGGAGGTCCACCAGCAGCCTTACTAGCTTTGATGTATTCTTGCATGCCAATGTTGTTGTTATCATTGTTGCCAACTTTCCTTAGTGAAACTCTTGACAGATTCCCTGAACCAGCAAAGAGTGTGCGCACAAGCTTTTGTTGAATCAGTTATCTCCGCATGGTGCGGTGAGCGTGGACGGCACTGCAACAATACCTTCAGTCTAGTCGACTTAGTCCCACGTACCTAATTTGTTCGTAGGCTGGCAGCTATGCTAGACGCCATGGTGGACCCCGTAGCTGAGGCGGGCGTTGTAGACATCCTGGAGACACGGCTGGAGGATGCGAGGGGACACCACTCGGCTCGCGAGTACAGGGAGACGCTCCCCTGGGCGAACGTCGAGGCAGGCATAC